GAGAACAGGGCTGTGGTCAGGATCTTCAGCTGGTATGTCACCTGCGAGTGGCATGTAGAAGGCACTGAGGGCTGCCCTTGACCCCCAACATGTTCACATCGGGGACAGCCCTCACTGTGGAGCCCCAGGCATAATAGGCAGACAGGGTGGAGTAGATGACAATAACAACAGCAAAAATCTCAAGCTACTGGCCACTCACTGAGACGCAGCTAAACAGCTCTGAGGTGCCTCCCAGAAGGTGTACAGGAGGTTGGTTGTGCAGAGAAATCCTGGGCCACACCCAGGCCCACATCCCAACCCCATTTCCTGGCTGTGTGATGTAGGAGAAAGCACCTGCCCTGTCTGAGCCCTAGACATTATGTGCTAGAAAATATGGCTGGTGTATGTGAAACACCTCATGTAGTAAATTAATGAATAGACATCATGATGACAGAGGTCTTGATCAATACCTGTTGATACAAATGAGCCAACCACACAATAATGTCAGCAAATATGTACATAGCGCTTACTATGTGCCAGGTGTGGGTCTAAGCACTTCACCACATAAATTTGTTCATTTAATCCTCATGTATGAAGTAGGCACTATTATAATGTCCAATTTAAAGATGAGAAAACTAAGGCACAGAGAAGTTAAGTGACTTGCCCAATATCACACAGCTGAAAAGTAGCAGAGCTAGGATTTGAACCCAGGCAGCCTGGCCCCAGAATTCAAGCTCTTTAACCGCTTCACAAGGCTGTCTGCAAATAGACTAAAACTTATCCATCGCCAACCAGGGGCTCTTCCCAGGTATTATATCTTTTAATTATCCCAGCATCCCAGTGAGTAGCTATTACCATTTCCATTCCCATTTCTCACAGATGAGGAAACAAAGGTCAAGGGAGTTCCAAGGTGACACAGCTCTTGCTCTCTGCAGCCCCCTCCATATCCTATATCCCCCACCCCAGCCAGTTCCTCCGGGGCCATGCTGGGCTTGGGGCTCACCTGGAAAGTGGCAGCAGGCAGGTTGGAGATGGCAACATACTGGAGGTTATTCTGCAAGGTGTAGATGAGAGAGGGCACTGCAAGCTTGAGTGTGTCCACATACTGTACCAGGACAGCCTCATGGAGGAAGAGGACCAGGTGCTTCACGTTACCTTCGTAGGGGGAGGAGAGCCCTTTTTAGCACCGACTACCAAAGATGGGGATTCTCTGAGGGCCGAGACTGGGCCTGATCTTGTGTCTCCCCAACCACATTCTGACCCCCTGAAGGCTAGAATGAGATCTATGCTCTCAATTTCTCTACAGTACAAGCACATCTCCAGTAGGCCTTTTGGATACTCATTGAATGGACACAGAAGTCCATTAACACTAGATCTAACACTGTGTCTGAGAATCACAGACCATATCTTACTCATCTTAGAGCCTACCTCCCTGGCATAAAGCCCCATTCAGGGCAAGCACTCAGTACACATTTGTACAATGAATTAATCAGCATCAACTAGGAGCTTGTGAAGTAGAAGCCCTAGGAGTGTGGGTGGAAAGCTGTTTACCCGAGGGGAAGTTTTAGACTTGAGTTGTAGACTTATCCTAGCTCCTTACTGCGAGCTGCCCAAGGGGCCATCTCTCATTTAGCTGAATCTTTCTGTCAGCCCTACACACACCAAGCAGTTGCCCCCACCACACGGAAGAACGCAGGCTTGACTATTAAGCACAAAGTCTAGTTGGGACCTGCTCCAATCAATAAATAAGAATACTTTCCTATATAATAAGGCCTTTGTAAAGCTCACCCCACTTTTTTGCAGTTCAGTGTCACTCCTCTGGGAAAACTCCATAACCACTGCACAAGATTATCACAGGAACTCCTGCTGATGCTCGCTCACAAAACCCTTCCTTTGCCCTTCATGGCATTAATCCCAGGAGTACTTATCAATGTCTAATCCTTTGCCCAAATTTTCTGGGCTCAGGGGTTTTGGTGTTCAAAAATTTCCAGGTGTTAGAAAAGTAGCATGGTATATATACTACATGTCTCACATAACACATCTCACATATATGGGGCTACACATAATCAAGTATATTCATATTCTCACCAAATGAGAAAAATAAACCCACAAATATACAGATAGCCCTACATCAGGTCAGGCCAAGTTTTACCATCAAACTAATTCAGGAAAAAGAAAATTGGGCAGTAGGAGGTTGAAATTGTAGATAAGAGATGAAAGCCTTGATTAAATCTGCAGCTGTTTGTTTCTAGCTAAAATAGTCCTATGAGAGCAAGATGCATGTCTGCACTGCTAACGTACCCACTTCCACAGTCAAAGAAGGGCCTGCCATGCAGTGTTCACTCAGAAGTATCTCGGAATCAATCAGGAACAGAGCAGGTGGGTCCCTCAACTGCTGCCTCCCAGGGCCCTTGAGCTAATGAGTGGGTAAGAATGTCTCATTCAATATAAGTGCCAAGGGCACAGCCACATACAATGCCTTTATAAAGGACTGGTCAACATGTTAAAGGCCTTCAGGGAGGTGTTTACATTAGTAGATAAATCCAACTTACAGGAAATACAGAGGACAGAAGAACATATTAAATGATACTACAGGGAGGCTGTCAGCAAAACCCAGGTTACCCAAAGTCTATAAGACAAATGACCTGATTTCTTCAACAAATTAACTACAGAGAGAGAAAAACAGAGTTGGAGGGAAACCTAGGAGTTAACAGGCCCAGAAGACATCAACTAGTTACAAAACACTGACCTTGATATAAACTTGATTCAAACAAATTTTAAAAAACATTTATGACATTTGAGAAATCACTAAAAAATCTGGACATTAACTGGATATTTAATTATTTTATCAACTTTTAAAAATGTATGATTTTTAGTTACTGCAATTTTAAAATATATATATCAAAATATATATTCAAGATAATAAGGGATACAGCTGAAACTTATTGGATTTTGTTAATCAATGTCACCATAAATATAAATTAATTTTAAAAAGATAATAAGGAAGAATTTACTTCAAAATAATACTTCGTGTGCAACATTGAGCAGGTCCTCAAACAACACTGTTTTGTTCAACACTGCTGCATCATAATGTTGATGAGGTGCCTAGGAACTTAACTCGTTTGTATACATTAGCCTAGTGGTCCTCAATCTTTTTGGCACCAGGGACCAGTGCTCCTATGAGAATCTAATGCCTGATGATCTGAGGTGGCACCGAGGTGGTGATGCTATATCAGTCTGCAGCCTGGGAGCTGGGGAGCTCTGCATTAGCCTATGGTAAAATTGATTTCATTATATGTGGTTTCATTTAGTCACAGAACCTATTGATGACGTTGAGGACTTACTGTACTTCAATATGATAAGGTGTGAGAGAGGTAGTAGGCAGACATATAGATTGGCAGTGAGTGGATAATCATGGATGGTGTTTAATGGCAGAGTGGCCATGAGTTGATAATTGTTGAATCTGGGTGATGGGTACATAAAGAGTTTACTACTTTTTTATTCTCTCTGATTTTGTGTTCTAAATTCTCCATAATAAAGTTCAAGAGAGTGCTCACTTTGGCAGCACATATAATAAAGATAAAGAGAAATGAATATATCATGAATATAGGGGTCATATGCTACTTATGGGCACAGACTGTCTCACTTGTACAGTCACCTCAGGCCAGTTCCCAGGGGTTGTGGAGTATAGTGTGGGTTCAGCTATTCATAGCTGGAGGGACAAGGCAGCTTAGCTGCACTTACACACTCCCCAGGCAGTTTCACAGACACATGTGAGTGGGGTAAATGCATGCACACACACATGCACACGCACACAAACACAGAGTCCCACCCACCAACTCCAGTGCAGCACCCCTCTGGCTCATACCCCTCTTCTGTGCGAACAGCAGCAGCAGGCAGGTGAGACCTTTGAGCACTTCGGCCATGACCACAGCAGTGGTAGCAAAGAAGCGGTCCCCAGGCAGTGTGCGGGTGTAGCGGATGCTGAGGATGAGGGAGGCATTCTGGACCACCAGCACGGCTAGGGATATGTATTTGAGGCGCCGGTGAGCTGTGGGGATGGAAGGAGCAAGGGGGAAGAAGGGGTCAGAAGCTGTTGGGGTACAGCCACATCACCACCCTCCCCTCTACTTTCTCGATCAGGATCCTCCTAACCATCGCTGCTTCCTCCTTCTGCCTGCCTATCCTGACCCAATGAGGGTCTGACTCCTCCCATTTCCACTGCCTCAGTCACAGGAAGAAGAGCCAGAAAGGGAGAAGTGGGTGTGGCCCATACCTGGAATTCTTGCTGAGGTGTCAGGAAATGGCTGGGGCAGGCCCTGGACACCCTCTCCCTCTACCCTGGACAGAATACCAACTACATTCTGAACATTTATTGAGTGCTTACTGTTTGCCTATCAATGGGCTAAGAGATTTATATGGATTACCTCGACAGACCTCTATATCACTCTGATCTCTGAAGGAACTATAAGGATTCCCATTTTATGGAAGAGCAAACCAAAGATTTATCCAATGTTGCTTCTACTTAATGAGGGGCTGTCCCTCGTAAAGAATGATACCCCCATACAGGCAATGAAACCACCGTGTAAGGCATGTCCACTCCCTAAGAAAGTCTTTCTCCCATCTAAGAAATTATTTCATTCCCTTGCACTCAGAATGGTTTCCTCAACCCCTCCCTCCCATGATGACTGACTGACTCCTCCTGACCCAAAATGATCTAACAAATATAAGATATTATTCCCACGCTGTCCTAAGGACTGAACTCCATACAGTTAATAGTTACTTCATCAAGAATAGTCTGGTTCCCTCAATGATATAAGGAGATATTACCCTACACTACGCATAGTCCAGTCCTCCAGCCACCGCATCTCTTTCTCCAGCCAAGGAATTATTCCTTGCTCTATTCACACAATGAACTCTACCAGCTACAAGAAAGGGTCCGGTACCCTCAGAACGTCCTTTCTCCTCCATATAAGGAAGGACCCTCCCACTCAACATACAATGAGCTCTACCGCCATTAAGAGGGGCCCCAGCAGAACGGTCTTCTCCCCATATAGTGAAGGACATCCCTATCCTCAAAATGGACTCTCTAAGTCATATAAGGAAGGAACCGCCCCACCGTAACTCACAATAGCCCCTGTCCCTTTACAAGGAAGAAACCATCATCCTCAGGATAGCCTCTCTCTTCTATAAAGAACTCTTCTACCCTCAGAATACTCTTCCTTCTATATTCCTTCTATAATGAGAAACTCTCCAACCCTAGGAATGGTCTCTTCCCCGCCCCCAACACACTCACAATGGTCTGTTCCGTCCTCCCCCCGACACCCTGTCACACACACAGGTCGGTCCATACGGGATGCTCCCCCTCGCCTCAGTGAAGAACCTTCCTGACCCTCCAGCGATCCTTGACCCCTGCCACGCTGCCGACCTCTCGGCCACAGCCTGTCTCACCCGCACTCACGGTCCCAGCCTCCAACGACCCCGCGGAGACCGTCCCTTGCCCAGCCGCCCCGGTGGAACCGCTAGACCCAACCGCTGCCATGTTGGCATCTGTCTGGCCCGTCCCCTCGGCAACAGGCTAGTTCCGTATCCGTCACTTCCGCTTCCGGGATGAGGTGGGGCGAGGGAAGGGTTAATCAGAACACGGGCTTTTCTTGTCTGTTCATGGACACGGGTCATGACAGCGGCCTCGGGACTTACAAATTCCGTCAGGATAGGGAGACCGGGAACGCGGCCGATTCAGTCTCCCACTGTCCCTGCAGTCTCTTCAGCCCATTTCCATTACTAGACCCGCCCTCGTCTTCATCGACCCTGCTTTCCATTTCACCCGCCCACCCTGGTCTCCTTGGTTCGGTTGCCCCGCTTCAGTCTCTTTATTGGCACCATTTTCAGATGGCACCGCCCTTTCTGCATCAAAACTCCTAGCTCTTTCCTGGTTAGATTGAAGTTCCCCCCTTTTCCCGGCGAGGCCCCGGCACCTGGAGAGCCTGCAGACATTTGGGAGGAAAATGAGACTGAGGGGGCGGGGCAGGTGAGGGTCCGGCAGGTTAGCAGATAAAATTAGGGAAGTTTAGGATATACAAATGAAAAGGCACAGGAGAGTTCAGTTGAGACAGAAGGGAGGACAAGTGAGTCACTACTGAGGATGGAAAAGTGAGAAGGAACAGGTAAGCCAGCAGGTGAGAGGCTTACAGGTTAGCTTTTGAAAGCAGGGTAGGAGAGGGCACAGCTGAGGTCGGGACAAGTGAAACCAAAATAAAATAGGGCAGGTAAGTCAGAAGTTGAGAAAGGCGAGATGAGAGGGATGAGCGAGTAAGAAGACAAGGGAGAGATGAAAAGGAAGTAAAACTGGATATTAGAAATCAAGAAACGCCGGGAAGATTTCTGTCCAGATTCAATTCTGGCCCCACCCTTACCAGTGCCCTGAAAGGGCTTTTCTTCTTCCATGGGGAAGGGAATGACTTCCTCCCTAGGGTCGAGGAAATGGAGTTTTTTCTGACCCTGAGCTAGCCATCTTTAATTGGGCATATGTCCCAAACACCTTCAATGTCTATCTCCAATGGAGCCCTTCTACACATACTGGAAACTACATAAGAGCTGGGGGTGGGAGGAGTGGAAGCTGTCAACAGTTTTACTTTGTGGTCCTGCTTAAATGAACCCATAAGAGATCTTTAGGATGACACCGCAAGACTGAGGCTTCCTGAGAGCAGAGGTGAGATCCAGTCCATATCCTTCTTGGCTCAGCATGCAGTAGATGCTCCACAGATGCCTCACTGCAACTACAAATGGCCAGTCACTTGTGATTCTATTACATTTATTAAATAGTGGGTTTCCACACATGGCTTTTTAAATAATCCAGGCAAGGGGAGAAGGGAGAGGATGACACAGTTTGGAGCTCCCTTCCCCCAATACATAGGTATTTACATTTCAGCAACTGGACAATCCTGGCTCAGGAGGAGGCAGCAAGAATCCAAAAAAGGTGGAGGGGGAGGCCCCAGGAGAACAAACAACAAGACTTATTTCCCCCACCCCATCCCCCCAAAAAACCATCCACCCCATCCTCGTGGACTCTGGTGGTATCCATCTCCCATTCCTTCCCAATCATGGAAGTAGGGTTCTCCTCACCAGAATAAGAGCACTTGGAATAACAAAGTAGGATCCCCTCACCAAAAGGAAAAAAAAATTGAATAATAAAATTGAAAAAAAAAATTAAAAAAAAAAAAAGCCCTGGGATAACAATAGGGCATTACCTCCCCCAGAATAAGCAACCCTGGGCTGAGGTAGGTAAGCAGCTTGACTGAATATGGGACCCTAGGCTAGAGGAAAGGGTCCTGTCACTAAAATGAGAGCTGCTGGGGTATTGGAAGGAAAGCACCCTTGCCCAAGTTAGAGCACTTGAACTAAGTTTGTGTGGTGGTAGCAGGAGGTGCCAGTGTAAGGGTTGTAACACATCAGAATAAGAGTCCTGGGGCTCAGAATAGAAATAACTTCAACCAAGTAAACATCCTTAGCAAAATGAGAAGGAAGTCCCCCCTCCAGAATAAGAAACCATAAATTCTGGGAGGAAGGCTCCTTAGTAGGATTGGGATGGGGACTGGGCAGACTTGGCTTATGTCTTCTGACCCCTGATCCCTAATCTGACCCTAGTAACACTGGATTTTAGATGACCTGTAAAACCAGGTCAACAGATGTCCTTCTATCCCTATCACATGGCCATGGGATGGCTATCCCAACTAGGGCAACAGGGACCAGGCCATAGGGCTGGGACCCCCTTTAGGGGTATTGGGGGGTGCATCCTCGGCTGGTGTCTGCATCCAGGGGTCCAGCCGGATCTCCTCCAGTGAGGGTCGGGCAGAGGGTTTGGGGGCCAGGCACCGGCGGATTAGGGCACAACAGTCTGCAGGTCAGAAACACATAGGAGATTAGCAGTTAGTTGGAGGCACCAGTCCCTGGGAAGAATGGAGATCACTGGGCTAGGGCCAGTGAGGGCCTCACCTGGGGATACATGGGCAGGGAAGTGTAGCTTAGCTTCCAGAATCTCCTGGTCCCTCTCGAAGGGAATGTCCCCACACACCATGTCATAGAGAAGGATACCCAGTGACCAGACAGTGGCTGGGAGTGCATGGTACTGGTGATGAGAGATCCACTCCGGGGGGCTGTAAACCCTTGTCCCTGCACACAAGCCAGAGGTTAGACCACTCTCTAATAATACTCTTCTCCCACCCCCCTCCCCAAGAAGTATGGTCCCCTCACCAGAATTAAGAGAACTCGCTATATGAGCAGGGTCCCCTCACCAAAACAGGAGCTCTTTAAATATAATAGCAGGGTCTCATGAACAGAATAAGAGCAGTTAAAATAACAACACAGTCCCCTCACAGAAGAAAAACACTTAGAAGTAACAGTAGGATCCCCTTACTAGAAAAAGAACACTCAGGATAACAGGATCTCCTCACCAGAATAAGAGCCCAGAATAAGGTCAAGGCACTGTGAGAAGATGAACTTTAACAGAGGGAAAGCTTGAGTCCCCAATATTAAAAACCAAGAACTTTATAAAGGTGCAATGTAGATCAAGGGTGACAGGACACCCAAACACTGGAGGTCAAAGGTCAAAAGACCATAAAGATAAAAGGTAAAAAATTTCCCCACTGAGATTTAGGGAAGCCTTACCATCAAAGTCAGTATAGGGTTCATCATGAAGCAGGGCACCGGAACCGAAATCAATGAGTTTGATACAGTCCCGGCGGAGGTCTATCAGGATGTTCTCATCCTTAATGTCACGATGGACAACTCCACGGGCATGGCAGTGCTGAACAGCTGCCACTACCTGGGCAAAGAGGCAGCGGCTTCGGCCTTCACCCAAAGGGCCCTGTTCTGTGATGTAGTCAAAGAGATCCTGGGCAGGCAAAGGCCGCTCAAGGACCAGCATGAAGCCCTCGGGTGTCTCAAACCAGTCAAGCAGGCGGATCACACCAGGGTGTCCACTGCCTCCACCCACCTTCCAAAGTAGTGCCACTTCCAGTGGGCATGTGACCGAGTCTGACTGTGGGGGGAAACGGAGAGAAAAAGGAACACAGAAATCAGGCCAATAGCTCTGAGGCTGACTTCTCACCTGAACTTAAATCATAGCCCCTTAGTCTATATGGCCTTGAACAAATCACTTCCTTCCCTGAGCCTCAGTTGCCTCATCTTAAGGGTCAAATTCAAACACCCATTGGGAAAGTGATTTGAACCAAAAGCCTATGCACATCTGGCCGGTAATAGCTTAGTAAATATTTGAAGAACAAATAAAAGCGGTTCTTAATGAAATACACTATTTTGTAACATTTTATCTGTTTTGTTCACTGACATCTCCCAAGAGTTTGGAATAGTACCTTATGCACAGTAGGTGCTCAATAAATGTTTGTTAAATAGATAAAAGCACTTTATAGCATGGCGTTTGCCACAGAGTTAGCACTCAATAAATACTGTGTAATGGTTTGTTTTGTTCACTGACATAGCTCAAGCACTAGAACAGTGCCTGGTAACAGGGTAGGGCTCAATACACATGTGTTAAATAAGTGAAAGCAATTAGTAGAAAAGGACCTAAAAAAACCAAGCTCTCAAAAGATATTTTGCTAAGTGCCTAGAATTATGCCTGGCACATAGTAGGTGCTCAATATACTTTTGTTAAATAGCTAAAAATGAATAACTGTAAAGGAACAGGCACAAAGTAAGAACTCAATGTTATCAAGTGATATTTTGTCACTGTCACCAAGCATCTAGAACCATATTGAATGAAAGCGATTAGTGGGACTTGGAATACAGTAAGCTTTTTTGATGAAGCAAAGCCTGAGGCATACAGGTGATGCTCAACAAAAGGCATAAATGTTACTGGTCACAAATACCGCCCCATTCTAAAAGTCCCACGTGGGCACATGGACTTCCAGATGCAGCCTTCCCGCCTGAGGTGGGGCCCTCTCCTGGCCACTCCACGGACTTGCACTGCTGCAGACAGGTTTTCTCACGGTGGTGAAAATTCCGCTACTGCGCAGGCGTAGGCTTCCCAGCTCCCGCTAGGGGGCGCTCCCGCCTCTACAACTGGCCCAGACCCACCCTGCCGTCCGTTAGCACGCTAAAGGCAGAAAGAAGTAGCCACCATCACCATGGCAACCGGTGACCTCTGCCCCCTTTTCCCCACCAGCATGCCCTGCGGGCAGCCCCTGAAGCAGCGTTTAGAGGGAGGACAAGAAAGGGGGGTTAGAGGGGAGAATCCAGGGCTCTAGAGGAACTGGGGTGAGTCAGAACTGTGTGGAGGTGTGGATGTTACCACAGGAGAGTAAACACGGGCTGGGAAGAGTGATCTCGCTGTTACAGGGCCCGGGGAGGCACACAAGCCGTAGAAAAGGGGGCAAGGGAACCCATCGTCAGCCATGGCGCCGCCAGGTCAAAAAGGTCTCCGAAGATACTCACCAGGGTGGACCAGCCCAGCACGCGATTCCGGGGGATCACTTTGATGGCCACCTGGAGAAGCGGGCTGGTGAGGGGGCCGGCAGATGACCCCCAGAACCCTCCCAATGCTGAGCCTCACTCTAGTCTTTGTGGCCCCAACCACACCACACGACGACCCCCCAAGGAGCCGGGGCTTCTCCCCGAACCGCAGGTCCCCGTGACCAAGTTCACCTCTCCCACCGCCCTCAGTCCTGGGCTCTCCCTTCTCAGGCTCTGGCTCCCGCACTCCAGGTCCTGATTTCCGAATTTCCTTACACCCTAAGCGCTCCATCTTCCCATACAGACCCAGGATGCCCCAACTCTGTCCCGGGGTCCTGGTCCTCACGACTCCATACTGTACAAAATTCCCCAAATTTTAGGTCTGGGCCCCCACCTTCGAAGGCATATACACATCCCCTGGGTCCCAGGGTCTAGATTCCTCAGGAATTCCCGCTCCCCAGTCCCACTCCTTGGTCCTCCTGAATCCTTGCCCTTCCCCCACACGCCCACTTGAGTCGCCCCTCCCCCCAACTGGGGCACGTGCGCTCGAATGCCCCCAGCAAGCCTGGCCCTCGTTCTCAGGACTCTACCACACACACATTGTGGGCTTATTCCCGGTCAATCAGCAGCTCAGCCCCAAGCCTCCCGCCCTCGCCATACGCACACCTGACCCTCCCCAGACCCTCGTGGTGGATACCTGGAGTCGGTCTGTGACGCGATGTCCTGCGAAGACCGTGCCAAAGCCCCCCTTACCCAGGAGAGGGCCAAATCGGTACTCAGCTTCGAATGCTTCCCGATCCTTGCCTCCTACGCAGGAGGAGGCGAGGAAGTCAGGGTGGCCGCGTGCTGAGCCCCACCACGACCCCTACCCCCTCCCCCTACGCGCTGCCCTCCACCGCTTCAGCCCGCCCGGCCTGGTAGCTGAAGAGAAGCCTCGCTCACCTGGCGGCGGCGTTGGGGTCACGGGGGCTACCGCGAGCCCCTGAAAAGGCTTGCTCAACATGGAGGAGGCGCTGCGCAGATTGAGCCCACCGAGCCCGCAGGGCGTGGACGCCCGGGGCAGCGAGGCCGGGGAGCTAGGACTGGGGGGCGCCAGGGTGGAAGACAGGGAAATTGGTGGCCCAGAAGCGCCCACAAACGGTGCACCGATGAGATTCGCCGAGCGCGCCAGCCCCAACGCTACTGAGCCGGGGCACGCGCCTCCCGAGAGAGTCGCCCTGGGCGATAGCCCCGCCCACTTGGCTTTGATCAATCCGGACGCGGCACCTGCTGTACCCCAGCCAATGGGAGGCAGACCTTATTTGCATACCACCCTCAACGTTTCAAGTGCCCGCTTATGCAAATATGTGCCCGGATCTTCGTTGGGGTGGGGCCTGTATGCAAATGAGGGGGCGCGCGAAGAGGAAATCAGTTTTGGGAATCCCTTTGCAGCAACTGCATTTGTTTTGGTTGTTCCACGGGTTGTATGTATGTATGTATGTATTTATGTGTGTATGTATGTGTAGATATAAACTTAAAAAAATAATTGCACCCCTTCTTTTCCTAGGAAGTTGGTTTGCCGCTGCTGCTTCACTATTAAGTGCGGGGATAACGCCAGGCCTGGCTTCTAAAAAGTCTGGCCTGTGGCTATCCAGGATCCTGCCTCCGAAGTGTGCTTCTCACCAATGGCAAGGACCCTATAGAGGACCGATGGCTTCCGCCATGAAACTGAAGCCGGGGATCCTGGAAGATCCTGTCCATTTGCCCGGGAGGGATAACCCCCCCCCCCCGACCCACAGCGGGAGACACGCTGGTCAAAGGCAGCATCGCTGAGGCAGCATCCCCCAGGCAGCGGCCTGTGGGGTGTTTGTGGAGTCTAGACCTGGCTAGATCTGGCAGTGAGCCCAGTCAGCAGGTCTAGAATCTGGAATGGCAGGGGAGCGGCTTTTGAGGAATGAGAGGAAGCCACAGTGATGGTGGCTTAGGGGTGTGCTTCCAGATGAAAGATGGGGGACTGAAAGAGCTCGGAGAGGTAGTAAAAGACCCTTAGTCACAAATTTGGGGAAAACAGGCCTCACGCCACAGGAAAAGAGACACACGTACCATGTGATTTACACAAATATGTTCTATCGTATTCATGTAAACTTTTCCTAGACATACATGCAGACATGCACTATAATAGAGTGACATCCACTGTCAGGC